AGATATTTAAGGCTGATTAATAGGATTTCTATGGCAGCCACAGCCATCGTAGCTATGAGAGCAGCAGCAGGAACATAAGTTCAGTCATGGAAGAAATGCACTGGCACGTGCAGCAAGTGCTGCTCAGCAAGTCAAGGAGTTGATCCCGGAGGAACATTAGCTCCTCCCTTTCTCTTAGCTATATTCATTTGCCAACACTTGGACACAGCTTCTAACCCACCATCTTCCCTGGAAGTCTCAGTCCCTCACACTCTTATTCAGTAAGTCTGCCACAAGGTCAGAAAGTTGCTTTGTGTGTGTGTGTGTGTGTGTGTGTGTGTGTGTGTGTGTGTGTTTGAAACAGGGTCTCCCTATAGCCCCAGCTGGCCTGGAACTCACTAGGTAGACCAGGCAAGCCTTGAACTCACAGATATCTGCCTGTCTCTGCCCCCCAAGTGCTGGGACTACAGGCATGTGCCATCACTCCTGGCAGAAATATGCTTTTATAGTGAGTAAGCTGATAGATTTGACTCAAGTAATTGGGAGATCTTACTTTGAAAAGCTATGATTAAGAGACTGTTACATTTCAGGATGAACAATACAGACCTGGCACTAAGTGCATGTTAATTTAGATGACAGGTGGTTATGGAACCCCCAAACCCACCTAGGTGAGCATGTACCACCTTATTTTTGATTAAACAGTACCCTATACTGATGAGTAAAATTTCTTGTTTCTTTTTTTAATGATAAATGTTATCTTGTCTGCTTGGACCTCTGTATCAAAATGCCATAAATTAGAGTGCTCGTAACAGAAACTTTCTCTCACAGTTCCAGAGATGGGGAAGTTTATCAAGACTTATTCAGATTCCATATCTACAGACAGCTCATACATGAATCTTGTGTCTGTATTCTCACATGGAAGAAGGTCAAAGAAACTTTGCTGGAGGCTCTTTAAGAAGGACAGTAATCCCATTTCTGAGTGCTCTCCTCTAAGAACCTAACTAATCATCTCCCAATGGCCCACTTTCTGTTATTACATAGGTGTCTCATATTCAATGTGAAAATTTTGGAGAAACTTAGCCATTTAGATTGTGAATGAAAGTTCCCAGAAAAAAAAAAAAACAAAAAAAAAAAAAACCTGAAACTGTTTTTTAACTAAAAGTGTAAAATCTCATGCGGTCCATATTGATCCTTTTTAACCATTTTCCACATTGCCCCTATTCC